GTGCGCGTGTGCGTGTGTGCGTGTGTGCGTGTGTGCGTGTGTGCGTTTGTGTGTGTGTGTGTGTGCCTGTGCGTGTGCGTGTGCGCGCGTGTGTGTGTGTGTGGGTGCGTGCGTGCGTGCGTGCGTGCGAGCGTGGGTGTGAGCGTGGGTGTGTGCGTGCGTGCGTGCGTGCGTGCGCGTGTGTGTGTGTGTGTGTGTGTGTGTGTGTGTGTGTGTGTGTGTGTGTGTGTGTGTGTGTGTGTGTCTGTGTGTGTGTGTGCGTGTGTGCGGTGCTTGCGTGCAAGCGTGCGTGCGTGCGTGCGTGCGTGTGTGTGTGTGTGTGTGTGTGTGCGTGTGTGCATGTGCGTGCATGCGTGTGCATGTGCGTCATGTGCATTTGCGTGCATGCGTGTGCAGGTGCGTGCATGTGCGTGCATGCGCATGTGCATGTGCGTGTGCGTGTGCATGTGCATGTGCATGTGCATGTGACTGCGCCTGCGCGTGCGCGTGCGCGTGCGTGCGTGCGTGCGTGCGTGCGTGGGTGGGTGGGTGTGTGTGTGTGTGTGCATGGGCGTGCATGTATGTGCGTGCATGTGCGTGCGCGCATGTGCGTGCGTGCTTGTGCGTGCGTGCATGTGCGTGCATGTATGTGCGTGCATGTGCGTGCGTGTCTGTGTGTCTCTGTGTGTGTGCGTGTGTGCGTGCCTGTGTGCGTGTGCGTGTGCGTGCGTGCGTGTGCGTGCACGTTAATTATGTTTGTGCGTGTGTGTGTGTGCGTGTCTTCTGCAGCTCGTTTTTGGCCTGTTGGAAAGAAACCACCATGAACGTCAACATGTTTAGTTCCCTGTCCTGACACACAACACACTTGGATATGTCACCACCTGTCGCATACAATCGTTGTCATCAGTGGATAGCATGTAACTTCTTGCCACGACACTCGCCCCCATCTTGCATCATCTTTCAACATGATTTTCAACTCACCAGTCTTGCAGCAAAAGATGCCAGAGCTAGCACCACCCAGGCGCCGGATGCCCAGGTCATGCGACATTGAAATGGGCAAGAGCTGTGTCTTGCCCTATGTTGCAAAAGCTCAAGCGAATGCTTCGTCTGAAGGTACGTGGCGCGTTGCAGTTTCCATCATGAAACTAACTCAGCCCCTTGAACTCGAACCTTCCGCTGATGCGAAGTAACATCCGACCAGGTCAGCTTTTGACGACTTTGAGAAGGCTGTAAGCTTAATCCCATCCGTTACAGAAAGTTCGGGTGCGCAAGCGTACTTGGAGGTGTCCCCAAGATGCCCTATAGGGGTGGCGGAGCATCTTCGGCTTTCCATGGGCTGCAAGCTATCATACCTTACAAACGGCTTTTGCCAGAGAAGGGCTTACCCTCGCCAGTGGGCATTGTGCCGAAAATGGCCGCGGCGTGGGCGAAATTCCAATGTTCCGTGGCTGGGCAAATATGGGGGGGATATCTATGGCTCCCTTCATGGGATTCCTTGTGGAAGTCCTTCAGACCCTCGTGAATGCGATGATGTGAGGACCTTTCATTTTTCCCTCAATTGCCGAATTCAGATCGTCCGTCTGCAGTGCTCGTTCGCGCAACCGCAGAAGTTTCAATGTTCCGAGAAGTCACGCCCCCCTGCTCAGAAAACACCCCACCAAAATCCGGCCCAATCTTAGACCCGCGGTTCTGAAGAGACGCCGGCTGATCACTGTTGGGGATACAGCAACCTTGTCTCCCCCACACCGGAAGAACTTACCTCAAACACTTGAACCCTCACGCAAGAAACACGTTGGCAACTTGGGTTACAAACATGGTTCACTGTCCACAACCTCTCAATCACAATAAGCAATCTGGTTCCTCAGTAGCTCACCTCGCTGCGAACAAATGCCAAGAGTTACGACCCCAGGGCCGTCCAAAGCATTCCGAGTGCGTGGCGAGAATCGAAGCCGCGGCGCAGCACAGCCGGATGGCTACAGCATTTTGGCTATATTTCGCAAGCACCTTTCGAGATCACAACATCAGCTATGTTCCGAATATTTCAGGATTGCTCCAATCACACTGGTCAAAGTGTACTCAAGCTACTCCCTGGCTTAGGACTGTTGCATCCCTGGCTTGTCCAAGCAAAAATAGATTATTGACCCTTGGCGAAGCACAACGCCACACAGCACAAATACCCCTTGCAATGATCTGGGAACGTCTGCACTTTCTGATTGCTGGCTGGCACTTTTGTAAATGATGTCTTGTTTGGCACCTATGGATGCCTTCTGAGCAAGGCTGGAAAGGACGCTGTAGGCGTGGCTGCCTTGATCCATGAAAGCCAGAAAGCCATTCCATCAGCCCGGCTAGGGCTAGTGGTTCTTGATAGCAACGTGAACTGTGGAGGCAGCTTCACTCAAGCCTAAAGTTAACAATACAGGGCAAAGCAACTTTCCAGTCAACGCTGCAACAGCTTGCTCCTTCTCTGCTAAAACAAGTTGTGCTTTAAACTGAGCCGCAAAAAAAGGGGAGGCCCAATATTCTGCCTCACGCGGCCCTGGGCGATGTGTGTTTGCACTTTCTTCCGTGGCACCGCTGGCTAGAAGGCCTTACAGTTTGAACTCCTTGGTTGGACTCCTGGCAGCACCCGACCAACCCGTAACAAGGCGCTTTTGCAAGTGTCCACGCATTCATTCCCTCATTCATCGGTTGCCACAGATTCTTAATTTGGAGTCAGCCACGCTCGGACAAACATCTAGGTTCAACCGGGCAAACACGAAGGGCACTGTTCACAACGCCAGCCCTAAATTGCTAACGATGCTCCAAAGCCACATCTTTGGCTTAAGTGCGTGGCGGCTGTATCTGTTTGAATTGACCCCAAAGCCACAATCCGGATGAGTTGCAATGCAATCCAAGGCCTCCAAACTCCAAGATTCCATGCACAAACCTCCCGCCCGGGTGCCGGTGGACCTCTTCAGCAGAGAAAAAGTAGCTGTCGTTGAAGGAGGTGAAGCTGGCCTCGCTGTCCCCGCATGAGGTCCACGCAAATGTGACTCAACCCATCCTTGCAACAATTCGCGGAGAACTCGAACAATATCAAGCCATGATTGTTGCCAACCAGCTCACATCTCTTGGAATCGTGAATGTCACCAACACGAGCTCCAGGTGTTCAGCCGCCAGTGGCCCGAGCAGCCCGATGTCCAGAACCCAAAGCGGCCCAAAGCGCGGCTCGCCGCCGGCGCCTCCTCCCGCAGCGTCTTGCCCCGGCTCACGGCGCCTTGGACCGCATCTGCGCCCGCCTGGGCTGCACGTGTCCAGTCCGCCAGCCTCAAGGGCGCCGCATACGGTCCGAGGGTATGGGGCTCTACAAGCCACACCAAGCAACACACACACAAGCATAGCCCTGAGGGAAAACCAGCTGCACCTGTATGCAACATGACGCAACATACGCAGCCCTTCAATACTTTCTATTTGATATCGGCCAACCTCCCCTGACAAGGGTCGCTTCAGGATCAAAGGCAATAGACAGCTGCATCGGCCACAGCGAAGATTCGGATGTCTTCGAGCTGTTGCACCGAACGGTTCGTGCCAAAGCTTGGACTGCTCACGCGTATGATGCGGTCTGGGTCCGCTGTGCAAAGCTGAGCCTGCACAAATGTTGGTTTGCAGTACCTTGCACTCCACTTGTGCGCAAAGTTGATATCACCACAACGAGAACGCTGATGAACATAGGCCAGTGACAAAAAACATCAGCAGTGCCACTAAACAACTCCGAATTCATGTGCTAGGCAAGGACCAATCCTGCCCACGGGCCTACAATAACATCGGGAACCAATCGCACCAGTGCGCTGTATCACCCCAACCCTCCGCAGGGCAGTTGCCAGTTTTGGATCTAAAGCTCTCTCTGTCTTTTTTGGGGAACCCCAAAAATGGTGGTCCTCCTCCTGTTTCCCTTTAAAACCACCAAAAAGCGGTACCCTAAAAAAAAAAAAAAAGAAAACACACCCTCCCAGTACACACGGCTTCTCCGTCTATGGGTTCCCGGGCGCGCCGGCGACCAAAGCCTCGGCCTCCGCCCGGCTCAGCTTCAGCGTCTGCAGGCTCTTGAGCTCCTTGCTGCGTCTTTTGTGGGCTGCCCCCAAAATGGTGGGCTGTCTTTTATCGGTTTCCCTTTACAACCGAAACAGGGCGCCGGCAAAAAAAAGGTGGTTTTACCTTTGGATTCGGTTTAGCCTCTAAAAACCTACCAAATAGGGTGCCGTCAAGAAAAGACAGACCCAATGTGACAACCACAGCCACGAAGAACAGAACAAACAACAGCAGAGTTAGACTCCCACCAGTCCGAGCGCAGCTCATCTGTGGAAGAGGACAAGCGGTGCTGCCGCCTGGCCAGCTCCTGGCCAGTTCCATTTGAAGGGGCAGGGTACTTAAGTGGGTAAGTGGGAGATAAAACCATCTTGGTTGCTGTTGATCCCCCCTGCAAAAATTTAACTTGTTTGGGGTTTAGTGGACAACCCCTTGATCTCCCAAAAAGCTAAAGTTTAAGGATCCAACCCAATAGCAGTCAAGCCATGAGTTGCTGAGTACCCTGCCCCTTTAAGTAAGGCTGCAAATCGAAAGGCCTCGAAGATTCCGGCACGCCAAGACTGGACTTGAAAACCTTCCAAAGGCAAATGACCGCATACATAATTATACGTGAACAAGAGTAGCACTAGCACAGCCACGTGCTGGCAAAGCCTGAACTATCCGGAGTCATGGGGCCAATGGGGCCATGATATGGGTCCCGCAAGTCTCGGTTCTGTCTATCCAGCAATTAGAACCCAAATAAACACCCCCTTGATTGATACGACCAACATTCTTTTAGGAAACCACTGGTCGATTAATATGAGGGCATCCTGTTTCGTGGGGATTCTTCACGTTGGGCGGCGCTGCTTATATCATCCGCCAGGCTTCCTAGTTCAGGATTGTGCTTATTCACTCTGCCCTTCATAGTCGATTCAAGCCGAAGCGGCCTTTGGGCTTCTGCCGAGGCACTTTCCTACCAGCAAGTACACGCTTTTTCCGCCTCAGCTAGCTTTGCCGTCTCAGCACGACAGCACAATGTGCTGCCATTTGTTTGCCGCGATGCCGGTGGAATAGACGCCACGACTGGTCCTCAGTGCTATGAATTGCTGAATTGCCGTCCATCCTAGCCACCGACAGGGCTGCCTGAAAAGATAAAACGCACCAAATAGCCAGATGTACATGACTAAGCTTCAAGGCTCCAACCGGGTGTTCATGTACTGACAGCTGCTTTCCATTGGTAGACGTTGGCCACCGCATCGCCACTCAAGCAGGAGCGCAGGCCTCAGCGTGACAGCTGCCGCCAACTTGCCATACTTTGCACGAGGGAATGCTCGGCTGCACGTTGATTTGGGCCAATACTTGCAAATAGTGTCGCTTTGCCATGGCCAAGTTTTGTTTGCACCCCGTTGTTGTTCAGTTGTTCACGACTGCAGCTGCGAAGCAAAACCGGTAGTGTGGTGGGAGGATGCTTGGGCGATCCATCCTTTTCAGCCAGGGCACATGACCATCAACATCCGCAAAGCGCCTCGTCCGCGTCAAATAGAGGCAGGCTCTGCCCTCCTTCAGCAGTCCGTGCTTGAACCTTCTTGTCTTCACCCATTCGCCGCCACTTGTTGTGGGTGCGTGTCAATTCGAATAATTCATGGAGAGCACCTGCGTTGGCAGATCAAAGGGCGAGTGTACCAAGATTCAACATCGAGACCACGTGTCCTATCCAATCTGGCCAACCTCGAAAACAATTTCGGCACAACTCGCGTACAGTAGGCCCTGTGGGGTGTTGGCAGTTCAGTTCAAGTGAACTTCCTGCCTGCTGGTGGCATTCAGCTCAAAGCTTCCCGCTAGCTGCTGCAGTAATTGGGGCAGCATTAGCCTCAGCTGGCCAGGGGAAACTTGACATGGCCGTCCAGCAATTGAGTAATTATGCTGTATGTTTATTGCGATGGTGCTGTCATTGTTGTTGCCGTTGTTGTCACTGCTGCTGCGGCTGCCGCCACTTTGATCCCCCCCAAGCCATCCCAAACCTCCCCCCACCAAGCCATCCCAAACCTTCCCCCCACCCCAAACCTCCCCCCCCCCCCAGCCATCCCAAACCCTCCCCCCCCCCCCAAGCCATCCCAAACCCCCCCCCTCTTTCCAAGCCATCCCATCCCAAACCTCCCCCAAGCCATCCTAAACCTCCCCCCGCAAGCCATCCCAAACCTCCCCCCCTCCCCCCCCCCCTCAATTTTGCCAGACTGCCAGTAGCCAGCCCGCTGCCAGGCACGCAGCATCGCCCCCAGACTCGTGGGGCAAAACTCCGCGCCGGCTTCTGATGCTGTGGATTGCCTTGTTGGTACTTAAAGGGGCAGGGAGAGTAGTCAGTGGGGTAGAAATATGGTTATAACCCACTTACCATGATATAAGTCTCATAAGCTGGGCTCAAGGTGACAAAACACCTCACAAAGTAGCCCATCGGGAGGCAACCCACAGCAACCAAGTGGATCGGAAGGAATTGCATTGGACTAGCACTAACAAATGATATGGTTTGTGTCACACGCCTTTTTTTTTGACACACCCAACCATTGGTGCCATCCAGCCATCCAGCAATGCGCCAAGAAAAGGCAAAATGGAGATGAGCCAAGATCAACACATTAGCCCGAGATCCTGGGGGCTTGAGCTGCTTGCGGTTTCAGCCATGAGGTTTGATTCTGGGTGGTGGTTTGCAAAGCCAGCCACTGACAAAGCAAACTGGGCAGGCTTCAAACCGTTGGGGCACAAAAGTCTGCAAGCACTGGAGGGATGTTCATGGGGTGGGGCTGAAGGAAGATATGAGATCTCTCATGTATTTGCGGGTGGGGTTGGAACTGTCTTGCATAGCATAGAATCAGGAATCAGCCACCGAGGTGACTACAGATTGCGCAAGAAGAGAGGAGGAGGAGGAAGAGAGAGAGGAGAGGAGGGGAGAGGAGGAGAGGAGGAGAGGCGGAGGGAGGAGAGGAGGAGAGGAGGAGAGGAGGAGAGGAGGAGAGGCGGAGTGGAGGAGAGGAGGAGAGGAGGAGAGGAGGAGAGGAGGAGAGGAGGAGAGGAGGAGAGGAGGAGAGGAGGAGAGGAGGAGAGGAGGAGAGGAGGAGAGGAGGAGAGGAGGAGGAGAGGGGCAACTGCAAAGTCTCCGTGAATTCGAGGCGGCGCTTCGTTTTTAACCAAATGGTCACTACAATAACTACAACATGCTGCAACTCGATGTAACTTGTAGCTATGCCATTGTGGCCGCCCTGAGATCCAAAAGTCATTTTGTCGTGGGCGCATTGTCCCATCTAATGACTTTCCCAATGGCCTGCACATGCCTGGACATCCTTCCTGTAGGGAAAATACATGAACATATGCGCGCTGAAACATATTAATACGCACACCCCACTGTTGCGTCTTTTTGCGCCAGCGTCATCCCGCATCACACGAACCAAATCTCAAGGAAAACAAGAGCCCTGTAGCCTCTGCAAAACGACAGCATTTTGGCTGCACACATTTTATGGTAGGTATCCTGCACCTGGAGGGCCCCCGATGTGAGGCCATCCACCATTAAACCGCCTATAGGGAGGTCAACCCCACCCATTTCGTGGGGGGAAATGCAGAGAGGGATGCAAAATAGCACGCATTCGCAAGCTTGAAGTTTGGATAGAGCTGACAAACATCCTCAAAACTTGCCAATTGCAAAAAAGGCGCAGGAGCAACACGTGGCGCCACTGCGATGCTTTGTCAGAGGCAGCAATGGCAGCGTCAAAGGAGATGACATTTAATTCGACGAACGTGCCAAGCTGATGCACCACGTGAACGGCGCGTCTCCAGTCCGTAGCTTTGCCGCACGAACCTGAGTAGACAGAGGAAAATACCAATTGCCATTTGAGCCTTACCTGAAATGTTTCAGGGCACAACAACATTTGCCTGGAAAACCTGCCAACTCAGCAAGAAGCTGAGGATTCCGTGGCATGTAATTTCATCTGCACGTAAGGCGCCTTGAGTTGCCAACGACATCAGGCCCACGGACTGCTGCCACCTGTGAGTGGACGGCTGCGACCAAACCTTTTGGACACCACTCCCCTCAACCCCAAAAAGGAAGAAAGGAAGACGACACGCCACCGATGGGGAAAGTGGCGCGGTCGCGAAAACACGCGAAATTTGGCTTTGTGCTATGTGTTCTTAAACACCCTGATCAAAGGCTTACCCGGGCATACATACCTTGTGATCTATTTTCCTGTTCGGTTGTTACAGTGGTACAGCGACATGCGACTACTATCGGTGAGGTTTCGATCCCGCCTGGAGGCCTTCTCGCAAGCTTTCACCGCAGAGTTGCAGCTGCAGATGTCGGAGACGCCTCCGAACCTGGACGCCAGGTCAGAGGCTTGGCGCCATCGCTGGGCCTGGGCACAGCTGGCCAGGGCCACGTTGAGGCTCACCACGTCAAAAGGATCGCCAGATGTACCGAGCCTTACCTGGTGGCGAAAAAGGAAAAGGGCAACTGGCCTTTGGACATTTCTATTTCTGTGAAGCCTGTCAGACAAAGTGAAAGTTGACTTTCCCCAGAGTTTGGCTTAGGAAAGCGCCAAACCAAAAAAAGAGAAAAAGGCGCTGCCATAGATCTGGGAAGCGCGTCCAGCAAGGCCAAGGCCAAGGCCCACTCTGCGGCTCTGGTGCAGGAGATGGCTGCGTTGAAGGAGATCACGTCCGCCAGGCGGCGCCTGGCACGGGTGCGAATTTCACCCCTGTGACAATGATGTACCCTCCCAACCAAAAAAAACGGGGAACCCAGCAAGGTCCTAGAAGACCATTTCCTTTTAAAGGGACCGGGTCCCTTTCAGGTTCCATG